TATTCTGCAAATACTTTTTTTTAATTGCATATACTTTTAAAATAAATAGTTGACGTTTCGAAAATATATAAAACATGTGATACAATCCTCTAAATTGTAATTACAGATAAAAAGAGAGATTCTGCGAAGCACACAATGTCACGAAATTGATAAAAGACACAGGATCTAACTAATAATTTAAAAGCAGGAAAGACAAGTAGGACCTGGGACAAGGGCACGGTGGAGGTAGATGACTCTGCAGACGGTGGTTAATGCACAGTGTGATAACATTTACCCTGGGGCTATAAACATTTACCCTGGGGCTATGAACATTTACCCTGGGGCTATAAACATTTACCCTGGGGCTATAAACATTTACCCTGGGGCTATAAACATTTACCCTGGGGCTTTACACTTTTACAAGGGACGGATGATCAACGGTGAATGTGAATAAATATTAAAGTCATTATCACACCTTTGTATTGGGAATTATCATTACTGTTATTAGGAATGTTAAAAAAAAAAAAAGTGATGCTCTAATGATTGTTGTGGGTCTTTAGCGACTTAAGAATGGATTCTATTTACAGTTTCTGCCACTCAAAATGCAGCAGTCTTTTGATGAAAGAAGTTATGCTAAAAATGGTGATCTGAAACTATCACAAAACACATGATCTCAAATTCTCTCCTGTTAAACGGAATTTATCATCCTCTATTCTCCAGGATTTAAATACAAAACCGACGAAACATTTAAAAAGAAAGGTATAAAAAAACACGTAAAATGGAAGATATTAAAAACGAGGAAAAATAAAAAAATAACACACTTCCTAACAACAAACAAAACACTGCCAGAGCCGTGTTAACAAACTGGGGGAGAGACAACCACGCGGGTCGTATCGGAGGTAATCGGACACGAGAGGGACTTCTTCGGGGACTTCTTCGGCGGCGATGTCTACAGACTGTGCGGGATGCTGGTGAGGGCGCTGAGGCCGAGGAGATCTTGCGGCCGGAGCCCTGCCTTCGTGCTAACTCCGGGCTTGTGCGTTCGTCCCTGCACGTCTCGCCCTAATAAACCGATAATCTGTGCGGAAACATTATCATTAGTTTTGTGTCAATTTCAGGACGTGCAAAATTCGGGAAAAGGCGAAGGGCCGTAAAATGAACGAAAAGTTATGTCTCGTTTTTATATCTTTATATAATTCGGGTATTTAAATCACAGATTCTAGATTATCCTGACTGATGAGCTTGTAGATATTGTAATATTACTGCAATGCCATTGGGAATCACCTAGGAAAATATATTGGGGATGCTAATAATCTTACTCATAATTACAATCCGTCCAACGAACTCGGGTGCAAAATTTAAGTCGAGGAAGGTCCATAAAGCTTCGCAAAATTGGTTTACTGTAACCAAATTCGAACCTGACATGTATTTCACTCTAACAATCTTCTTGACAAATATGAATCCAGTCAATAGTCCTTTCAAGAGTTTCTATGCCAAAACCAACGAGATTTTGCACCTCAGTCCGCGGAACAAGTCTGGTTAATTGGATGCAAATATAATTATATTTTTAATGCAGGAAATGTTAATTTAAGAATTATATTTGTTTAAGTAATTATCAATGAGGGCATTGTTAATTCAAAAAGGGGTAAATATATACACAAACAATACAAACTGAAGTGAAAACCATAATAGTGAAGGTATAACCACAGAGTGAAAAATGAGAATAACGAGATCAAGAATAATAAATAGACAAATAACAAAACAGGACATCATAAAAATAACAAAGAAAACACGAAATTAAAGAAACAACACAGAAAACAATTACAAACAGAAACCCAACCAAGACCTTCATTCGCAAGTCAAACCATGCAGAACACGGAAGCCAGAGACCTCAGGAAAAGAACATTTCAGCGATGACGGCGTGCATACCTGGTGCTGCAAGTCCTCACAAACATGCGACTGGATCCCAACAGTCGAGGGGGGAAATTTGGGCTTCAGAGTTGCCTCAATGAAGCGTGGAACAGAATTTAGAAGTATAGTCACAGACAGGAAGAAAGGTTTGATATTGACGATAAGAGAGAGAGAAGGGAATGTTATACTGTGCTCATTAATAGTCATACACTGTGAGAATGAGTGAGTGAGTTAGTGTGCGTGTGCGTGTGATTTTCTGTTGTAAAGGAGACAGGTCAGATCAAGAAGAAACAAGAGAAAACACAAGGAGTGAAAGGCGGTCAAAGGAGGGGGTGCAGTGTCATACCCAATGCAAGAATACGTGTTCGCGTCCACCTTACACAGGTAATGGTGTGGCGGCGGCGCCCCTGAGCTGCCTCACTACATGCTGTGGGGCTGGAGCACACTCTGCCCCAGGAGCATCCGGACGTCTTCGGCTGAGGTGAAGCTGGACACAGACTCTGAGCCTAAGGTCGTCACGATCTGAAACATAGTTGGGTGGTCGTGGTTGGCCTCGAACCCTGGACTCCGCGCAAGAAGAGGGTCGTCTTTGGCTTGATGTCAAGGCTGA